ACTGGAAGGGGAAGCCGGGGAAGGTGCCCCCGGCCAGGCCGAGGGTGAGGGTCCAGGTGAGGAGCCTCCAAGCTGTGGCCATGGTCAGCGCCGCTCGTGTCGGAGCAGGGAGATCTGTGCCGGCTGGGAGGGCGCTGTCCCCACATGTCTCTCCCTCGGCCACCCCTTATGTCCAGAGAGGAGTCCCGGGTCCCTCTGCAGGCATCCTTGGCTGCTCCGTGCTCTCCCGAGGCCAGTGGGGGTGACAGTGCCAGGCCAGCACTGCGGGGTCAGCACGGGCTCGTCCCCAGCCCCGGCATTGCCCCTGCAGGGGAATGTCACAGACACCTTTTATGAAAAATCCTTTCCTTAAGATTTTTTCTCCTGAGAAGCTGAGAGGCCTCAAGAAGAAAATGTAAACATTGATTATCTGCTGTTGTAGAATGCAACAGGTGCATCTGTTATTGGTCTGATAGAGTTTTTTCTAATTAATGGCCAATCACAGTCAGCTGGCTCAGACTCTCTGTCTGAGCCACAAACCTTTGTTATTCATTCCTTTTTTTGCTGTTCTTAGCTAGCCTTCTGATGTAATCCTTTCTTCTATTCTTTTAGTATAGTTTTAATATAATATATATCATAAAATAATAAATCAAGCCTTCTGAAACATGGAGTCAGATCCTCGTCTCTTCCCTCATCCTCAGATCCCTGTGAACACAGTCACAGGAGAGAGGGGGATGAACGAAAGGATGGAGCAGAAGGATTCGAGGTGGGCAGGGGAATGAGGAAAGCAGGGTCCTGGAGAAGGCAGGAGTGGGATGGAAGGAGAGGAAAAGAGAAGAAAAAGATGAGAAGGGTTTGAGGGTGGATTAACCCCATCAGCTCTGCACTGCACTCAGGGGTTCTCCCAGCTTCTACCTGTGGAAAGGAGCTCAGGATCAATGGGAATCCTTTATCCTGTGGCAGTACCCTCCATGAAAAGCAGCCCCAAGAGTGCCCTAGGTCACCTGATGCTTTAAAGAGAGCAGGAAATAACAGCACTGCCAGGGGGTGGTGATTAACAGCCCAGAAATCCTCTGTGGGGCTTTCCTGGATTTCAGACACACTTTAAGGACTGTCACCACACTGAGGGAAGAGCTCTTGCTCTCAAAGTGTGCTGGCTGAACCTAAAAAAGTGATGGAAAACAAAGAACTCATTCAGGGAACTCACCCTCAACCCCATCCACAAATGGATCCCGAGATTCCAATCGCATTTGTTCTTTAAAACGCTCTGCTAATTGCTCCGGTGAAAGATTCCTGGCTTGCAGAGAATTTCCACTCGGTCTGAGGCGATTACATCAAACTCAAATCGTGCTGGGGACTTGCACAAAGCCTGTGGGGTTTTCTTCTTACCCACCCACTCCATGTGTACGGGATGAGTGCAGCACATCCCAGAGAATCCCAAATATCCCAGTGGTGATGCTGCAGGGCATGACCCAGCAGCCAAACCCAAACCTCCCTGAAGGGATGGCAGATCCCACGGGCTGGAGCAGGGCTGGGAAAGGCAGGAGGAGCTTCCTGGGAAAGGAGGGATGAGCTGCTGAAAATGGCAGGATGAGATCCCTGAGAATGGTGGGATGAGCTCCCTGGGAAAGGCAGCCTGAGCTCCTGGGAAAGGAGGGATAAGCTCCCTGGAAAAGCGGGATGATCTCCCCATGAAAGGCAGCATGAGATCCCGGGGATGAACTCTCTGGAAAAGGCAGGATGAGCTCCCAGGAAAGGCAG